ATAACACGGGCAGTGCACCTGGCCGTAGAAGCAAGAGTATCACAGTAGGAGGGCATGCGGAGCTGCTGCACACCCATGAATGCGGAGCTCCGCCCTACCCCCAACTCCACATCGGCTGCACGCTGGCCCACTGGGAACGCACACGATGCCGCCCCCCCCGCGGCGGCTTCCGCCGGAATGCCCTCGCCGCCCGCGCGCGGGCCCCTCACTTACCGGCCTGGAACATATCCCTAGCCATATGCTGGGCATCTCTTCATCACGATGCCAATCTTAGGGATTCCCTCATTTTTTGAGGGCGAATCCCTTTGGCGTGTCAATCTTAGGTGCGTCAATCTTAGGGAGAGGGATACGTTCGAGGCTGGTCACTCACAGCGGCCGCGCCGCGGGGCCGCGCCGCGGGGCTGCGCCGCGGGGCTGCGCCGCGGGGCCGCGCCGCGGGGCCGCGCCGGGGGCCTCGCGGCGCCGTGGCGCGCCATGCGGCCGCGCCCCGCGCGGCGGCCGCGCGCGGCGCGCCCTCCGGGGCGCGGCCGCGCGCCGCGCCGCGCGGGGCAGCCGCGCGGCGCGCGGCGGCCGCCGCGCTCCTGCTGGGTGGCTGCCCCGCCGGCGGCGCGGCGCCGCAGAGCGCGGCGGGCGACGGTCGATCGGGCGCTGGCGCCGCCGACGCCGACGACGCCAACGCCGCCGACGGCGCCGACGTCGCCGACGGCGACGCCAACGCCGACGGCGACGCCGACGCCGACGCCGGCGACGGCGATGGCGACGACGCCGCCAACGGCGACGGCGACGGCGACGCCGACGCCGGCGACGGCGACGACGACGGCAACGCCGACGCCAACGCCGACGCCGACGCCGACGCCGACGCCGACGCCGACGCCGACGACGCCGACGCCGACGCCGACGACGACGGCGATGACGACGACGACGCCGACGCCGACGGCGGCGGCGACGGCGACGGACGGCGACGGCGACGCGACGTCGCCAGCAACGCCAACGCCGACGCCGTCAACGCCGACGCCGACGACGACGGTGACGGCGACGACGGCGACTCCGACGCCGACGACGCCGACGACGCCGACGTCGCCGATGCCAATGCCGCCGCCGACGACGCCGACGCGGACGCCGACGCCGACGCCGACGACGCCGACGCCGACGACGACCACGCCGCCGACGATGACGACGACAACGACGATGACAACCACGGCGGCGACGCCGACGACGACGACGACAACAACGCCAACGCCGACGCCGACGCCGACGCCGACGACGACGACGACGCCGACGACGACGGCGGCGACGACGGCGACGGCGACGGCGACGGCGACGACGACGCCAACGCCGACGGCGACGCTGACGTCGACGCCGACGCCGACGCCGACGCCGACGCCGACGTCGCCGACGCCGACGACGACGACGACGGCGACGACGACGCCGACGATCGCGACGCCGGACGCCGACGAAGGCGACAACGACGGCCGACCGCCGACGCCGACGCGACGACGACCGCCGCCGACAACGACAACGACGCCGAACCCGACCCAGACGCCCGACGAGCCGATGTGATCTTATCAGTGCGCGGCCCCACGGCCCCGAACGGCGGCGCCAACGCCGACGCCAACGACGCCGACGACGACGGCGACGGCGACGCCGACGCCGACGACGCCGACGCCGACGACGGCGACGCCGACGACGCCTACGTCGACGACGACGACGGCGGCGACGACGGCAACGCCAGCGCCGACGACGATGACGAAAACGGCAACGACGCCGACGCCGACGCCGACGCCGACGACGACGACGCCGACGCCGACGCCGCCGACGACGACGGGTGACTCCGCGCCGACGACGGCGACGGCGACGCCGACGACGACGCCCGACGCCGCCGACGACGACTACGGCGACGACTAACGCCGTCGACTGCTTGAGAGAACGCCGAACGGCGACGGCGACGCGCCGAACGCCGACACTAACGACGCCGACGAAGCCGACTACGCCCAGACGACCGACGCCGACGACGACCGCCGGACGACACCGACGAACCGACGAAAACTCCGACGCCGCCGACCCGACGCCGTGACTCGCGCACTTCGACGGCGAACGTCCGAACCGCAACAACTACAACGACGACGCCGCCGACGCCGACGTGCCGCGCGGCGCCGCCGACCGCCGCCGACGCCGACGCCGACGACAGCTGACGCCGACGACTCCGACGCCGACGTCGACGCACAGCGCCGACGACGACGGCGACGAACGGCGGCCGCCAACGCCGAAGCCGACGGCCGACGACGCCGAACTACGCCGCTGACGAACCACGGAGACGATACGGTGACGACGATACTACGACAACGACAACGACGCCGACGCCGACGGTGACGACGCTGACGCCGACGACGACGGGCCGGCCGCCGACGACGCCGACGCCGACGATGCCGACGCCGACGACGACCGACAAGCCGACCGCCGACGACGCTGACGCCGACGAACGACGACGCCGACGCCGAACGCGACGCGACGCCCCCGTCGAAGCCGAGCAGACGGCAGACGCTGTCGCCGACTACGTAACAACGACAACGAGGCCACGCCGACGCCGACGTAGACGCCGACGCCGATGCCGACGCCGCCGCCGCCGACGGCGACGCCGACGCCGTCGCCGACGCCGACGCCGACGTAGACGCCGACGCCGATGCCGACGCCGCCGCCGCCGACGGCGACGCCGACGCCGTCGCCGACGCCGACGCCGATGGTGACGACGCTGACGCCGACGACGACGACGACGGCGACGACGACGACGATGCCGACGCCGTCGCCGACGCCGGTGACGACGACGACAACGACGCCGACGCCGACGCCGACGCCGACGCCGATGGCGATGCCGACGCCGCCGCCGACGACGCCTACGCCGACGCCGACGACGATGCCGCCGACGACGGCGACGACGACGGCGACGCCCCCGACAACGGCGACGACGACGACAACGACGACGGCGACGACGACGCCGATGCCGATGCCGCCGCCGACGCCGACGCTGACGCCGACGACGCCGATGCGCGAGGCGCTAGGAGAGCGGAGAGAGGAGAGAGGAGAGAGGAGCGAGGAGCGAGGAGCGAGAAGCGAGGAGCCAGGAGCGACAGAGAGTAGAGAGTAGAGAGGAGAGGGGAGATTGGAGAGATGAGATAAGAGAACTGAGATGAGAGAGGAGAGAGGAGAAGTGAGGAAGGAACGAATAGAGAGAGAGATGATATGATATACGAGAGAGGCGAGAGGGGAGAGGGGAGAGGAGGGAGAGAGGTGAAGGGATAGAGGAGATATGAGAGAGGAGGAGGACCAGGAGGAGGAGGAGGATGAGGAGGAAGAGGAGGAGGAGGAGCAGCAGGATCAGGGGCAGGAGCAGGAGCAGCAGGAGCAGGAACAGGAGCAAGAACAGGAACACAAGCAGGAAGAACACGGAGAACAGGAGGAGCAGGAGGAGCAGGAGGAGCAGGAGGAGCAGGAGGAGCAGGAGGAGGGGCAGGAGGGGGAGGAGGGAGGAGGGAGGAGGGAGGGAGGGATGAGGGAGGAGGGAGGAGGGAGGAGGGAACGCGGGAGGGAGGGGACCACGACCCTCCCCTGACCGCGTCCCCGACGCCCTGCCCCAACGACACCTCCCCTGACCTTGACCCTGGCAATGACGACCACCACCTCCGACCGCCTCCTCGTTCCTGCTTGCTCTGCGCTGCCTCTGCCGATCCCCTCCCTCCTCCTGGTCAGCGTCTGTCCGCTGCGTTTTTCGTCTCGCCCCTCCTCCTTCTCCTCCTCCTCCTCCTCCTCCTCTCCTCCTCCTCCTCCTCCTCCTCCTCGTGGCCTCCCTCCGCGTGCTGCGCAGGCGCGCGCGCGCGCGCGCCCGACGGTGGGGTCGGGTGGCTCACGCCCCGCGGCCGAGTCTTCGACCCGTGTGCTCTCGCCGCGCGTTGTGCGCAGCAGTTGTTTCCCTCTTCGTCCTCGTCCTCTTTTTCCTCCTCCTCCTCCCTCTTTTTCCTCCTCCTCCTCCTCCTCCTCTTGGCAGCGCAGCGTCTTCGCCATGCGCGCGCCCGCCCGCGAAGGCGGCCAGGCGCGGCCAGCTGAGGTTTCTGTTCGTTCCCCTTCGGCCTGGGTCGGGGGCTGCGGCTTTCAGTCCGGGGGGGGGGGTTTAGGATGGCACGGCAGGGGGTTGACCTGTCATTTTCGGTGTGGACTACCGACCACACCTGGCCCAGTAAACAGCACTTTCTTCAGCAAGTCAGTAGCTATTGCCAGTCGTGGCCTCGACCTCCCCGTGTTCCACCTCTCGTTTGCGTCCATTGTTTGCCAGCGCGACGTTGATCATATCTTTACCAGCGTTCTTATTTGTACTTGCGGAAAAAGGCAGGTGGCTGGTGGTCGAGTGAGCCGGGTGGGAGGGGTAGTGGGGACACAGGCCAGTCTTTCTAGAGCCAGCCCCGCACGCTCTATTATCATTGCTTGCGCACGTCTTCTCCTCTTTCTTTTGCCGTTTGTTAGCTATGCCACACCATATATGCCTGACATAGCGGGGATATTTCGACCCTTTCGTTTGCGGGAGATGGTGGGGCGGCATCCCCTGCAGTTGTGGCTGGCCTCCCTCGTGTGGTACCTCCCTTCACATGTTGCTGTTAGTGTGTATTGGTATTTCCTCTTCTCCAGGTGCCGCGGACTGGGTTACTCCCGCCCCCATGGGTCACTATTCTGTGCTTGCCTCTAGGCCTTTGTTTTTCTGCACCCGTCCGCGGCCTACTTCGTTTGTTACCTCGCCTACACCGGCGAGTGTTTCTGCACCGTTTCAGCACTCGACAGGTTAATCAGAATGTCCGAGCAACGGTAAACAGGAGGATCATGAGGAGGAGGAGGACGAGGGCGAGGAGGAGGAGGAGGAGGAGGAGGGGGAGGGATGGGGAGGAGGAAGAGGCATGCGACCTGCAGGCCCCGAGGCTGTCAGTGGAGCCCGGAGCCCGGAGCCCGGATCCGCGCAGGTGCGGCGGCGGGCGCCCTCCCAGGCGCGGCGGCGCCGCGGCGCCCGCGGCTGCACGCGGTGACGTACTCCAGCGGCGTGAGCTCGAGGCTCGGAGGGAGGCCGGGGGGGGTCGTGAGGAGGGGTTGGCAAGGGCTCCCACGAGGGCGCGAAGCTGTGCGCGCCGCGCGCTCCGCGGTCCTCGTTCCTTCTCTCCCTCCTCCTCGTCCTCCTTTTTCTTCCTTTTGGGGGGGCGGCGCGAGAGCGCGAAGGTGTTCGCGCTTCGCGCTTCGCGGAGCGCGAAGCGCGAAGTTGGGAGCCCGAAGAAAGGGCCTGCTCAGAAGGCGGCGGAAGTCGTCGATCGTCGATCGTCGTCGATTGTTGTCGATCGTTGTGGATCGTCGGCGTCGACGTCGGCATCGGCGTGGTGGTCGTCGTCGTCGTCGTCTTCGACATTCAGAGAAGTTTTCTGCGTCTTCGGGGAAGGCTTGGGAAACTTCTCAGAAGACCTGGGGGACTTGCCAGCACTCTGAGAAGGCCCGCCCCCTCTCACTTCCCCCCAGCTGGCTGTCGACAGTCTCCAGATCCCCTCGCGCTTCGAACGAAGTTATTGTTCGCAGCGACGAGATTTCGAGTCGCGATCAGACGCAGACGTGGGCTGCACGCGGCCGCAGTGGGCACGGTGGAGAGCGGTCGGAGGGATGCTCGGAGGAGCAAGGCCTCCCAGGTGGGGTCCGAACAGATGGGGTCGGAGGATCGCGCCGCATCGCCGATGCATAGACGATGCGGCTCGATGTGGAGCCCGATGTTCTCCACGCCGACGTCGCTGATGCATCGCAGACGTTGCCGATACATCGCCGACGCATCGGCGATGCGGCGCGTTCCTCCAGCCCCATCCACTCGGACCCCATCTAGGAGGCCTCTAGAGGAAGGGCTAGTTCTCAGATCCCCTCGCGCTTCGACAAAAGCACGACGAGCTGTTTTTGGCAATCTTCGGTTTTCTGGGGGCGTTCGCCAGGACCCAGTACTCTCAACAAGCTACCCAGTACGAAGAACCAGTCGTAGTGGATGGGTCGAGACCTCTGGGGGGCCACGTTGTGAGAAAATGACGATCGGTGGTCTGGGCTGGGACAACCCTACACATCCGACGACGTGGTTTTTCCAACGTGTGGCCCCGACCACTTCCACGGAGCCAGCGTTTCGCCCTGAGCCCACTTGGATTGCCCCACACGGACCCCTGGAAGCAAAATCGAGGAGCCGTGCCCGGATCGAAAAACCAGCTCGTCGGGGATCTGGGACCGTGGTTCTTCAGGAGGGAAAAACACACAGACACAATATTATTCGTCGACTCTCAGAAAATATGGGAAAATATGGGAATTGGGCGGGTAGGCAAAAACCCAGAAGATCTGGGGAAATGTGGGGAATCTGTGTATTCGTGTGCATCTATGTGTGTGTGTGTGTGTGTGTCCCAGGGCCCCTTCAGTTCTCCCGCCAGGTCCAGATCCCGGCCCTCGGACCCCGCAGCACTCCGATGGGGCCGTCCTGGCTCGTCCGTGTCTCTTCTGGGCGGGCCCGGCCGCGGCGGCGGAGAGCCTCCCGGGCAGCCCCGAGAGCACGAGGCGCGTCAGGGAGGCCCGCGGCTGCCTCTGTGTGGGCCCTCCCGCGAGGCTGTCGCTGCCCCTCGCCTCCGCCGAGGGCTTCGGCCTGTTCCCCGTGGTCGTGGGCTACGGGCACTCGGCGACGTGGGCCTACGGCCTGAGCGGCCTCCCCCGGGGTTCGGCCTCAAGGGAGGAGGAGGAGGAAGGAAGGAAGGAAGGAAGGAAGGAAGGAAGGAAGGAAGGAAGGAAGGAAGGAAGGAAGGAAGGAAGGAAGGAAGGAAGGAAGGAAGAGGAGGAGGAGGAGGAGGAGGAGGAGGAGGAGGAGGAGTGAGGAGGAGGAGGAGGAGGAGGAGAGGAGGAGGAGGAGGGAGGAGGAGGAGGAGGAGGAGGAGGAGGAGGAGGAGGAGGAGGAGGAGGAGGAGGAGGAGGAGGAGGAGGAGGAGGAGGAGGAGGAGGAGGAGGGGCGAGACGAAAAACGCAGCGGATCAGTCGCGCGCAGCCGCTGCCCGGCCGCCTCCTCCCCTGCCATTCACTGCCCTGCTTTCCCCCACCTCCACCAACTCCTGGGCGATGGAGCGCGACGTGAACCTTGGCGCCGCGGCGGCGGCTGGGGCTGCGCCGGCGGCGGCGGCGCCGGCTGCTGCACCAGGGAGGGACGACGACGACGACGACGAAGTTGACGAGTTGATGCAGCCGGCGGAGGGCGCTGCTGTCGGAGGCGCTGCGCGGCGGCGACGGCGGCGGCGGCCACTGGATGACGTCCCGCCCGTCGCGCCTTCGGAGGCGCCGAGGCGGGGTGGGCGATCTCGGCGCCCACGTCGAAGAGCCTAGCGATGTGCGCCACCTGCCATGGGGAGGTGCCGGCATGCACGCCTCGTGTGCGTCGCGGAGGCCCCGGAGCCCGCGTGCACCATATTGGCTGCGTCGCTGGCCAGTGCGGGCCGCCTGACGGCTTGAACGGGTGGGCCCTCCTCCCCATGGAGAAGCGCGCGGAGGCGCAGGCGGCGTTTGATGCAGCTGAGGCCGCGGGCATGCGGGCCGGGGCGCCGCCGGCCGCCGCGGCGCCGCAGCCGGCGCGGCCTGCGGCACCGCTGGTGCAGGCCGACGGGGCAGTGCAATATACGGCGAGCTCCAGCGGATGGAGTTCTGGGGCGACGTCAGCTGGGACTGCCTCCACGACAGGTGCGGCACCATCTCTGTCGTCCCGGAGGCGCTCCGCTATGCCATACCGGACTTCCAGAAGGTGCTGTGCGACTCCGTCTTGGCGGCGGCCGGGGGCGAGAGCGAGGTCCGCGGCCTGAAGGCGCTCCTCTTCTCGGATCGCTGCGTCACGGAAGCGGCGGGGAGGGGCCAGGGGCCAGAAGGGGGAGATAGTGGCGCGCACGCTGGCCAGGCGGATCCGGCTGATCTGGGAGGGGTCGTGGGACATCCTCTGGCAGGAGGCGGAACTCCCGCTGCGCACCGGCGGCGGCGTGGCACTCACAGCAGAGCAAAGCTTGGCGAAAGACGTCCAGGCGATCGAGGAGGCCCTTGCTGACGAGGACGTGCGGGAGGCGATGCGGGTGCTTGACGGGAAGCTGCCGCTCGCCCCAGACAAGAAGGCGCGCCGTTGCTTCCCGGCGCTGTTCCCGAGGGCGGCGGCCCAGCCAGACGTCCCAGCCGTGCAGCCTACGGATGATGACGTCGACCGTTTCCTGGTACAGCTGCGCCTGGCGTACCTCCACGCTCCGAGGCACCGCGGCGCGGGCCCAGGAGGCGCCCGGTGAGAGCACTGGGCATGGATGCCGCAGCACGAAGAGGCGTGGGACAGTTTCGCCAAGGTGATCCTGAACCTACAGCTCGGCGAGGCTCCGCGCGAGGCCGTGCAGGCTTGGCTGGGCGCCCGCATCCTGGCCGGGGACCGGGAGGAGCGCGACAAGGTCCGGCCGTTTGCCCTGGGCATCTTCCACCGCCGCGCCACTTCCAGAGCGGTGGGCAGGGTGTTCCGGGGCAGGGTGGCGGCGGCCCTCGGCGACGGCGAATATTCCGTGGGCAGCGCGAGGGGAGCGGAGTTCATGCACAAAGCAGCGCTGCTTGACTTAGACAGCCGGCCGGGGTGCTGCAAGCTGAGCTTGGACGCCAGCAACGCACGCAACGAGTACGACCGGGCCGCTGCAGCGCGGGCCGTCCAGGCGATGGTCCCCGAGCTGCTGCCGTGGGCTCGCGGCGGTCTGAGCACGGCGGCCGTGCACGTGCATGTGGCGCAGGACGGCAGCCGCACGCTGCTCCCGAAGGAGAGGGGGGGCGACCAAGGCGACGCGCTCACCAACCAGCTGTTCCCACTCTGCTACAAGCACGTGGCGGACTCGGTGGTGGCCGCGGCCGGGACGGCGACCGAGCTGGGACGCAGCTACTGCTACCAAGACGACCTGGATGTGATCGGCGAGCCGGCGGTGGCGGCGCAGACGGAGGCGGCGTTCGTCGCCGCGTGTGCCCAGGTTGACCTCCGCGGCAGCCCGACCAAGACCAAGCTCAGCCCAGGGCGCCAGGTGGACGTGGCAGCGCTGCCTGCGCACCCAGAGGTGGAGCCGCGGGCCCTCGTACTCCGCCACGGTGCGCTGCCCGCCGCGCCGGGGGTGCCGGTTGCCCCAGCCGCGCAGCCAGCCGACGGCAGTATGCTGGCGCAGGGGGGCCCGGAGGTGACCCGCCTGGCGGCTTCCCGGGCGCGAGTGTACTCCCGCTTGAGAGAGCTCCGGGCCGCTGGACTGGACGCGCAGCAGGCCCTCGCGCTGCTGCGAGCCAGGACGAGCTCTGACTACGCCCTCCTCGCGCGCACCTGCGGCATCCCGACGACAGAAGCACGCGCCCTGGACGCGGCGCTCCTGGCGGACGTGCAGCACGTGCGCGGCCGGCCGCTGGAGGGCCTGAGCGGGAGGAAGTTCTGCCTCGCGGGAAAGGGCGGCGGACTGGGGCTGCAGACCGTCGAGCTCACGGCGGCGGCGGCCCAGGCGGCGTCGCGGCACCTCTGCCTCTCGCACTGCCTGCGCAGGTTTGGGCTGGACGGGGCAGGCGCGCTGGCCAGCGTCAGCCCCTGGGCGCGGAGGTGCCTCCCGGAGGCGACGCGGGTCCTCCAGGCTGCTCTTCAGGACGAGACCGCCCTCGTGGGCGACGAGGGGCTCGCAGCCCCGCAGCGCGCTCTGGCTTCGGCCCCCCTTGCTGCGGCTGCGCGCACTGTCGCCAACGAGGCGAGCTACGACCCTTTGGCAGCGTCGGCCCTGCGCAGCGCAGGCGGCCCCGGGGCGAGCGCCTGGCTGGGCCCGCCTTCGCGGCCCGAGCACCGCCTCTCAGACGCGCAGTTCGTCGTCGCGCTGGGAGTGCGCCTCGGCGAGGACCTGCCCTGCTGCGCGGGGGTGTGTCAGCGCAGGCACCCCGACGGGGGCGTGTGCGGAGCTGTGCTGGACCCGAAGGGGCAGCTGCGCGGTGCACCAGGAGATGGTGTTGCCGCACGCCGCAGCCAGCCGGCCCGAGGCCCGAATGGACTTGATAATCCACGCTCCCCGGGTAGCTGTCCCCATGCGGGTGGACCTCGCCGTGGTCAGCGCGCTGTCCCAGAACGCGCTGGAGCGCGGGTCAGCCCGGCGCGCCGGCGCCGCGGCCGCGGCGGCCGAGAACGACACGCGCGCTACCCTGGGCTGAGGATGGTCCCCTTCGCCGTCGAGGACCACGGCAGGCTCGGGGGGGGCGCCCTGGCCCTGGTGCGCCTGCCGGCCCCGCCGCCCGATGACGACGGGCGGTCGGCGGCCATCCGCCTGCTGCACCAGGCGCTGGGCAGCGTCTTGCAGCGCCGCGCTGCGGACGCCGTCCTTGCTGCCGCGCAGCACAGGGCTTGGCGAGGGCCCCGGGCTGGGCGCTGAGCGCGCCAGGCCAGACAAGGGCGCGGCGCGGCGACCGCGGGAAGGCCCTGCTCGCCTGCTGGCGGCGCTGGGGCTGTGGCGCTGCTGGGCGGGGCGCAGGCGGCGGGGCGGGCCGCGGCCGGCGGCGCCTGGGCCTGGCTGGGGCTGCGCGCAGGTGGCGGCGGGGGCGCCCCGGCGGGCTGGCGTGGCGGCGAGGCCAGAGCTCGCGCGGCGGCGCTGGGCAGGCGCGGCGGCGGTGGCGGGCCGGGCAGCGCGCGCTGCGGCGGCGGTGGCGGGCCGGGCAGCGGGCCGGCGCGGCGGCGGAGCCGGCGCTGGCGCGGCGGCCGGAGCTCTGGCAGGCCGGCAGGCTGCCGCCAGAGCCGCCCGGGCCGCGGGCGGCGGCAGGCGGGCGCGGGGCTGAGGCGAGGAGGAGGAGGGGGCGGCTGCGCGGGGCGACTGGCTGGCGGCGCCGCGCGGGCCAGCCCGTCGGGAAGCTGGCCTACTTTGTCCTCGCGGGGCTCGCCGAGCTCCCGTGTATCGGGTGGTAGAGGCCCCGGCCGGCAGACCCCTCCCCCCTGGGAGTGGCCGCTGTCTCAGACAGCCGGCCACCCCCGGGGGAGCCGTCCCCGGCTACGGAGGAGTCGGCCAGCTCCCGACCAAAGAGCGCCGGCCGCGCGGGGAAGACTCGCGGCCGCCTGCTGGAGGAGGAGGGGGAGGAGGGGGAGGGGAGGAGGAGGAGGAGGAGGAGGAGGAGGAGGAGGCAGGAGGAGGAGGAGGAGGAGGAGGAGGAGGAGGAGGAGGAGGAGGAGGAGGAGGAGCAGGGGGAGCAGGAGGAGCAGTAGGAGGAGGAGGAGGAGCAGGGGGAGCAGGAGGAGCAGTAGGAGCAGGAGAAACAGAAGGAGCAGGAGGAGACGGAGCAGGAGGAGGAGGAGGAGGAGGAGGAGGACGAGGAGGAGGAGGAGGAGGAGGAGGAGCAGGAGGAGCAGGAGGAGGAGCAGGAGGAGGATTTTTGGATTGCGCTGTGATTCGCCAAGGAGACGGTCAGCTCGGCGCGGCACTCACTAACTGCTGGCAGAAACACGCGGTATCTAACATCACGGGCGCCAAGGTTAGGTGAATCTCCCCGCCCCCGTCACCTAACCCGTGCCACCCCCATATCGTCGGAAGGCGCTCGAGGCACATTGCAATGCAACAGGGGTAGGGGAAAAGGCAAGAGGAGGCTGATCAAAGAGCGGAGCAGGTGCGATAGCCTGCAAAGGGCCCAAAGGGCAGCTAAGTGGGCGTGTACGAGGCAGGGGCCAGCGGGAGTGCACGATTTTCGCACGCTCGACCTGTGTCCCATGCCTACCTTATCGCCGCAGTGTGAACTACGCCCCCGCTAACAAACCTATACTACCCAGGCTGACGAAAAGGCAGCTGAGTGGGGGGCAGGTGCGAGACAGGGGCCAGCGGGAGTGCACGGTCTTCGCACCCTCGACCTGCGGCCAGTGCCTGCTCCAAGGCCACAGTAGAAACCCCGCCCCCGTCAACAAACCAATCCCACCCCCGGTCCCGACCACAGTAAGTTGAAAGCTAAGCAGGGAAGTGGGGAAGTTGAGATGGCCTGGCGAGCCCGATGCGCGGGCGCGGGCAGGCGCGCGTGTTTGCCCGCCCCGAGAGAGGTTCGCCGCACAAGGTACGGCGCCCGAAACCTCTCGAAGTAGGGCGGCAGCTGGATAATGAACGGAGAGAGAAGCGCCGAGATCGTAATCGAGGCAAAGAAGACAGAAGCAACATGGTCCCGAGTCATCATACCGTAGGTACCCCGGTGTCGCATGCCACCAGAGAGCGGGCAGACAGAGAGAAGTGGCTGAAAAACGCGGCACAGAAAACAACGGTAACTTGCTATTCTGCACTTCCACTTCTCCGCACAGAAGTGAACAACAATCCCCAGCATCTCATGGTCGATGACAGGCAGCAGCTTATCCAAACAAGCCTCTGCCAAACTTAGGATCCAGGGTCCAGGGGGCTACTTCGCGCAAGCGAGCCTGTCTCTCTTCCTGGAGTTTAGCAGCTCCTCTGTTACGTGCCTGCGCACGGTTTTGC